GAAATCGCCTAGAATACGCCCATTGTTTCTATCAGATGCCTTCTTTATTTCCTCCATAGCAATTTACCATCGTTCCTACTCTCCAAATTAGGTGTTGGTCTATATATAACACCAATATTCTGGTTCACTTTCTTACTCACCAATCTCTACCCAAATATGCCATTGTCGCTATTTGTTTTAATGTTTGATTTATTGCAGCTTTTAATGACACCTGATATACACTGCTACCGCCACCTCTCCTTCCTACTCTGTCAAATTTAAATAGGTTATATCCTGGAATATAAGAATTCTGCAAAAAAAAAATGCTTGCTGTTTGAATTTATCCATGTTTCCGTTGTGCAATTATATCTATGTTCTCTTTACTAACAATGGCCTGAGCTGGTCCATTTTGTTACTGAGCTTCTACTGTTAGTATAATAAACCTCAATATATTTCTTCGTTTCTATCTGTTTTACATTTATTGCTTTGATGTTCGTTATTATGATACTATATTTTTCAGCATTATCTACTTCTGTTTCACTCCTTTAGGACCTCTTGTTTTTGACTCCCATTTCCCCGACCTGTGGGGACCCCTTGGGGTGACAATTTCACGCTCCAGGGATGCAGACAACGTCTTTACCCCTCACCGAGAGACAAGTGTACTCCGTCGCGACAGTACAGGTAGTCACTGCCATAAATCGTTGCCAGTCATCAATGAATACTTAACCGTGTTTAATGTTTCTCCAGTCGGCAATTTTATAGCAATTGCCCTGGACAGCCATTCACGACCAACCCCACTCTTCTGGGCAAGACACCACATACTATCGGGATCCCTCCTATCTCTAATCTTCCCCAGCACTCCCTATACCTCTTGAAAAGTTCACTCCACTCCTAACCTTACCTATGTCGTTTCACTCCACACTAAGACACACTACTGGATTGGTACCTCCTAATAGCTGTCTAACGTCTCGGCTACATGCCCTATCAACCCCCAGGAAAAACATACCTAGTCCTACGTTCTATCTCTCGCACAAAAGCCTATCCATAAACCTCACCTGGCTATGCTAACACATACCTGTGGGCAGGGTTTGTACAACTGCCCTTTCCTCTCCGCCGATCCATACCAAATCCCTGCCTCTTCTCTTCCTCTCCAGCTTCCACCTGCAGCACCTGGTAGAGGGTTACTGCACTCCACACCCTGGTCAAAGCTTTCCCTAAAGGCTGACCTAGTCCCCTGGGGAGACAACCACTCTCACGCCTGTTCCTCCTTCGCAGGTGTCCTGTGGGCATTTTCCTACCTGAAGGGTTCCCGTCCTGGGGCTTCATTCCCCCTTTGAGTGTCAGCCTCACTCCTCAACTGCTTGCTTCTTTAACAGCGTGGCAAGGAGGTCGTCCTTCCTCCTCCCCTCCCTCTTCCCCGGCACAACGATCCAGCGGCCTGCATTTCCTTGGTCTCTGGCAGGGGAACTTTGATCGGCTGACCTTCTCCAAGCTGGGTCCAGTCAACTGTGATGATGGGTGGTGTTATAAGTAGTGATGATGGATGATGTTATGTCTTAGTGATGATGGATGGTGTTATATGTAGCGATAGTGGATGGTGTTATATGTAGTGATGATGGGTGGTGTTATAAGTAGTGATGATGGATGATGTTATATGTAGTGATGATGGATGGTGTTATATGTAGCGATGATGGATGGTGTTATATGTAGTGAAGATGGGTGGTGTTATAAGTAGTGATGATGGATGATGTTATATGTCGTGATGATGGATGGTGTTATATGTAGTGATGATGGGTGGTGTTATATGTAGTGATGATGGATGGTGTTTTATGTAGTGATGATGGATGATATTATATGTAGTGATGAAGGATGATATTATATGTAGTGATGATGGGTGGTGTAATATGTAATGATGATTAGACAATAAAATAATAACATTTTAATGCTAAAAAATTTACTTTGCTGTACCGTTGTAGTGAGAAACATGGTGGAACTTACATACACCGTTAATGAACTATTGATGGAACAAGAAGTTTTGGTGACCGTTGCCTAGCGGATGAGCCGCCCAGAGGGCGGCGATTCTGCTAGTGTATATATATATATGTATATATATATATATATATATATATATATATATATATATATATATATATATATATATATATATATATATATATATATATATATATATATATATATGTGTGTGTGTGTGTGTGTGTGTGTGTGTGAACATAAGAAAATAAGGAGTCTGCAAAAGGCCGGTTGGCCCGTGCATGGCAGCTCCTGTCGCTCCAGTCGAGAGTTACTACCACTTTCTATCATTCATGAATCTATCTAGCCTCCTTTTAAAACTTTCCAGCGTTCCAGGCATTACTACAAAGTTGCTAAGCTTGTTCCACTCGTCCACCACCGTATTTGTGAACCAGTTTCTTCCTATCTCCCTCTTAAACCTAAACTAATCTAACTTAAATCCGTTGCTACGAGTCCTCTCCTGCTCGGATATTATAAGAACTTTATCTATATCCCCTTTATTGAGGGGATAGAGGGAAAGAGGAAACACGAAGTTACCAAGAGCTTTCGTGTAATTCACATCTTCAGGGGTGAGTACAGACTAAGGAGAAATTATTGACAAGGCTAATATATACAGTAAGGGAGAGGGGGATCAAGTCACCAGAGACCGCAGGTGTCCACCATATTCAAGTCATTAAGAGGTGACCCAACCTTCTCACCTGGTTACAAATCTTCTTAATCACAAAATTGTCCAATTTGTACATACTATTACTCAAATTCTTGTTGACACATTCGGTATGTTTAATGAGACTAGATTCTATAATGTTCCTACTGACAATAGAATTACAAGGTAAGACTGGGGAGGCATCAGCCCAGTTAATGCAATAATTATTATCTCACATATGAATGAACAAGTCATTGGATTCCTGTTCCAACAATATAGGATACTTATGCTGTTTAAGTCTAGATATAAGATCCTTGCCCGTTTGACCTAGGTAAAACATATTACATTCCTTGCAAGGAACCTTGTAAAGGCAGCAACCCGCATTACTGGGGGAGTTCTTAATTAACATTTGTTTTACAGTGCAAGATTACTAAACGTTATATTTACGTTCCATGTTTTCAGCTGTAGAAAATTTTGAGAGAAATTTATGTGGTTATCAGCATATACATGGATCACGTGCACCTACAGTGATTTATTTACATTTATATATTTTTATTGACAATGGTAAGGGAAACGTGTATTTCCTAATAATAACGACTAGGTACGATATATTATGGATATTATTAAAATACAGACTTTAAATGAATTCATATGTTTTGTTTATGACCAAGTACTTGCTCATGATTTCGTATAGGTTATGCTGCCTTGACATTTAGAATCACACACAAGATTGAGTTTAAAATACTTGCATCGGTTTTTTTTTTACACTTTTTTGGGCTATTGCAGTTACATTTAATAAATCCTTGTCCACGTATTCAATAACAGTAGACTTACTAACCTTATCAAACATCATAAAGTGTTAGTAAGTGCTGAGGGCACAAATCAAATTTATTTATAGAATATAAACCTCTCACTATCCCTGTTTTAACTGCTATTCTGTACTAGATCTCTGTAGCTGATAACACCAAGTATATTTGTTGGGTCTCCTCTACCACGGTCTACTGTTGAATAGGAATGACAACATTATCCTCAGGCTCCTCAGTTTTGCAGTCCTAACTACTTCACTTGACTATTCCCTCGGCTTCCCGCAATTGACCAGATCATGCCGTAGCACGCCGCTTCTTCATCTTGTGCTGTAACATATGACATCCTTGACGAAGAACTGGTATAATAAGTTTGGTTGTCCTCATCAGGCAGTGGCTGGATTGGTTGATCTAGTTGGTTGTCCTCATCAGGCAGTGGCTGGTTGGGTTGATCTAGTTGGTTGTCATCAGGCAGTGGCTGGTTGGGTTGATCAGGCTGAGTCACAAGAGCTTGGAGATCATCTTCATCTTTTAATCTTTCAATGAATTCTCTTGGTAGTGATGAAGAAGTCAAACCCACTGGAGCGTTACACCCAGACATAGCAGAGTATGATGAACAATTTATTCCGGCAAAATAAGCGGAGTTTTTCTAGAATTCAACGAATTCGACACCAACAGTAATCTTGAGAGTTGTTGTCTGCCATCCAAGCAACCAACACGTCTCTGATATCTCCATTGGCCCTTTCAACGGATCCCTGGCTATGGGGATGTCGAAGCTTTCCATGGATCAATAATAGATCTGGTCACGTTTATAACAATTCAGTGATGACATGTGGAGAATAGCTGGGCACCAAGAAGGAGAAAGATATTTAAAAGGTGGAATGCCACTTCAGCTGCTCGTTCAGTCATTAGCGCTCTCAATATACAAAATTTTGTAGGATGACTGCAATTGATGAACCATAATCCACTTGTGAGTAAATTTGATATAGCTTGTATACAACAAGTCGAAATTTCTTCAGAGACTTTTTTGCTGTTTGATCCGTACTTCTTTCTTCCTACATTCACTGAAACCTCTCCAGTAAATCATCATAGAAAGCATCATTATATTTTAGAAAATAAAAGTATAATCCATAACTATTTTTAATAAATACATGAAATTCCTGAGTGAATCAGAGATTACACGTATACACTGAAAGTTTTCGGTAATACGTGTATTTTCTGATTACGAATATTTACAGTAACATGTATATGTATTTATAGGCTTGGAGAGAGAGAGAGAGAGAGAGAGAGAGAGAGAGAGAGAGAGAGAGAGAGAGTATGGGGGGAATTTTACCCCCTAGTAATTTGGAAACGGATGAAAGATCTCACAAAATCAAATTAGAATCTTGATAATTATTCTTTTTATGTATCAGGAACTACGAGCTTGAAGCTATTTAGCTATGCATATTGGTGAGTATTGGCTGTCTAGTCATCCCAATTACTTAACGTTACTGGTATTGCCGGATAGTGGCTGTCTCTTCTTCACCTATACTTTATATTTACAGGTGCTGGTGGGGCTGTGGCTAATGTTCTGTGTAGTCATCATCACAGGATTTCGTTCGTCGTTAATCGCACATCTGACGGTCCAGGGAAAGTCCAAACCCCCTGAAACTTTCGAGGATCTGGTGTCTCTTAACCACTGGAGGTGGGGTATTGAGTCCTGGATCCTAAATGGAGCAGTCCTGTTATATTTCTCAAAACACAGTGACCCGGTGGTACAGCAGATATATAGGGACAAAGAGGTCAGCATTTGAAACCGTAATTGCCGCATATTTTTTGTGATCAAAACGACTGTATTAACTTAGTGTTTGGTTGTTAGTGTTCAGAGGGAAACTATTGATGGTTATTAAAAACATGTCTATCCTTCACGTAGACGGCCATTAATATATAAATATACTGAGAGAAATTCTTCAACCTTACTTGAAGATGTTTATGGTAAAATATAATATTAAATAATTGTTAGAATAAGTGCAACGATAAAAAGAGGCCCCGAAATCTTAGCGTTTTGCTACTTGAAATCACACATTGATTAGATATCCATAACAGGCGAACGTATCTATGGAAACACTAACACACACACACACACACAAGGTGATATACAAATTTATTTTAAACAAATGAAAGATTTAGCCAAAATAATTTTTGAGGGTCAATATACCAACTAAAACTAAATAAATATTGAATATATTTTCTTAACGACAATTTTTTAATTCCTTCGAACCAGATTCTACCAGCAGCAGAGGGACTACAGAAGGTGAGGGCTGGGGGATATTCTTTCCTCAGCATCAATTACTACATCACTGTCGTCGTCGCCTCTCAGTACACCGACAGTTATGGCCAAACACCCTTCTACATCAGCAAAAAGGGAATCGAACTATTAGCTGCATTTGGATGGGCGTTCAGGCACGTATATTACATTAATGTTGACATATATTACCTGGAGTGAAAGTTAATAGCCAACTCGGGATGATATATTATGCGGATGTTTACTACTACTACTTTGCTGTCACTCGGAATTGAGTATGACGATCATCCAGCTATAATACAATGATAAGAGTTATTAGGGATGTCAACTAGGTTGGTGAGTTTTGAGGTGACTAAAGAGGCCGATGCGGGACTCGCAGCGACGTTCACTTTCGATGTACATGTGGAGGGCTCCATCTACTGCGGGAGGGGCTGTGGCAGCGTCTTTCCGGCGTTGGCGCTTATCTGCCTCGGTTTATAGTCGGGATAACTCGAAAGTATTGACACCTTTTAGTGTGGTGCTTCTCCAAGCGTTACGATGTGAAGTAATCGACTCCCAGGTGAGGGAGTCGATTTGGCAATCTTTCAGGTTTGTCTTCAGACTTTACTTATACCTTTTCAATTATCCGCCTGTGTTACGCTTGCTATTCATTAGGTGACTGTAAAGTAGCTGCTTTGGCAGTCTACTGTCGTCCATGCGGACAACATGGCCAGGCCAGCGTAGTTGTTCATGGATAAAGGTAGCCTCGATGCTCCTACAGTTGGTGTCAGCAAGATTACTGGCATTTGTTCTCTTGGCTTCCCAGCGAACTCAGAGGATGGAACGTAGACTACGTTAGTGAAAGTTATCAAGTGCCTTGAGGTTCCTACTGTATATGATCCATGTCTCACTGCCATATAGCAGGGTGGGGAGGAACACTGCTCGACATACGTGCAGCTTTTTAGATAATTTCAGCTCCCTACAGCTGAAGACACGATTTCGGAGTTTCCCAAAGGCTTGAGATGCACATCTGTTCCAATGCTGAATCTATTCATCGATGTTTGCGGTGGTGGGCAGAGGGGAGCCGAGATACAGAAAGTGGGTAACATTAGAGAAGGTAATACCGTTAAGCTGGATGGATGGTGGAGATGTGTCTAAACCAGGGGCAGGTTGAAAGAGAATCTGAGTCTTATGTACATTTACCTCAAGGCCGAAGTGTGCATATGCGTCTGCGTAGGTGTTCAGGATCTCCTCTAGGTTGGGTTTAGTGTGAGCAACAAGGGTGAGGTCGTCTGCATACCTAAGCTCAGTAATGAAAGCTGCTGACACCTTTGTTCTTGCCTCGAATCGTCTTATGTTGAAAAGACCCCCCTTTACCTGGTACTCGAAGTTCATCCCGCTGGCTAAATTGGTACTGGCACGAGTAAGGAAGGCAGCCAAGAAGATGGAAAAGAGAGTTGGTGCCAGTACACACCCTTGTTTAACCCCTGTTTGGATGGAGAAGAACTGTAACTGGGTGCCATTGTGCAGGACACTGTCATTCATGATATCATGGAGTTGCCTGAACATGGTGAAGAATTTTGGTGGGCAGCCAAAACGGCTGAGGATCCACCAGAGGGCTTCCCTATTGACCGAGTCAAAGAACTTGGTTAGGTCTATGAAAGCCATATACAGGTCACGATGCTGTTCTCTGCACTTTTCCTGTATCTGGCTGACAACAAAGAACATGTCAGTGGTGCCACCTGATGGTCTAAGACCACATTCAGGTTCTGGGAAGAAGTTTTCCACCTCTGGGAGAAGTCTCTTTAGGAGGGCTCGGGCGATAATCTTCCCAGCTACGGAGACCAGCGAGATCCCACAATAGTTGCCACAGTCTGACCGGTCTCCCTTGTTCCCATTAAATATTGACAATGAAGGCGTCTTAAGGAGCTTGGGGGATTTTCTCTTTTCCCCATATATTCTCCAGGGGAGAGTGGAGACGGCTGGTAAGCAGAAGTCCTCCATCAGGCCCTGAGGCTTTCTCATTTTTCATCTGTTTGATGGCAGTAGCTACCTCATCCAGGGATGGAGGATAGATGAGGTGGGTCAGCTCTGGATGCTGAGGGACAAGCTGGGTAGTCAGGCCATCCACATCTGTGTTTCGGTTGAGCAATGAATGGTAGTGCTCTTTCCAGTGCCGAAGGAGGCCTTCATCGTCTTTAATTATGAGGTCACCTGCAGATGAGCGGAGGGGGGCTGCGCCACGAGTGACTGGCCCATAAAATGTTTTAGTGGAAATGAAATATTCGCGCATCTTGTGCTGATCTGCAAGTTTTAGTGCTTCACATGCTTTATTTTTAAGCCAGTTCGTTCTTTAGATTGCGAAGTTCCCACTGGGCCGCTGCTTTCCTCTTGCGGAAGGTATCAGCTTTGGTCCGAGAGTGAGGGTTGTTCTGCCATTCAGTGAAAGCAGCACGTTTAACGTTTATCATCGATGAGTACTTTGGTTCACCTGGTCATTTTTATCAAACCATTCCTGGTGTATTAGGGTGTGTCATAGGAGGGAAGATCAGCTAAAACTAATGGCCCATCACTTTTTTCGTAGATTTTAGTGTATATAAACAGAAAATAATTTCAGTTTTAATATTTTGCAACCTTTTGCTAGGTAAATTTTAGCGTGAAATTTATCGAAAATCTAACGTACAGCTGCATTAGTGCATTACAATTAAATAGTGAACATTGCTTTCTGACTAAATTCTTTAACAACCCAACTAACAATATTTTTTTCTGTTTCAGATTCTGATGCATTTATAAGTTGATAATATTTGCGATGGCTGCTTGTGTCAGGACGAGGAACCAAAAATCCAGCCATCTCAGTCACTGTCTTGGGTCTGGGAGAGAGCTCCTGAAGTCGGAGTTGCCTACATTGAGAGATGCTTTGAGATACGGTGTTTTAATCAGGCAAATCAGTGAAAAGAACCAAAGAACTTACACAAACAAAGACATTGCCAGTGATATGACCAAAGCTGTCTTGGCACAGTACACTCTGGCTAACGCTCAGTTCAAGCCTCCAGTCATAACAAGTCAGAAGAAGATTAGTGAGAGACTGCTAGCCAGTTGGGAAAAGGCAAGAGATATCTCTCTTGGGAGAGGAAAACTTGCAGTTAAGGACAGCTTTCCCAAGCAACTGGACCAGTTATTTGACATAATTACTTGCAAGTGCCCAATTGTTCTCTGTCCTGAGTTTGGATGCGATCGTGACTGTAAATCCGAGGCCCACATCTCCTGTATTTGCAAGCGTGAACTGAAGATTCCTGTGATCGAACTGGCATTTGTCAAAGCACAGAGAGAGAAGACTGGCAGTATAGGGGCTCTCATGATTTCTAGCCAAGATATTCCGGAGTCCAAGAGACAGGAGGCTGCCACAGAGAGACAGAAGAGGAGAAGAGTTGCCGAGGAAAAGAGACTTGAGAAGGCCCAGGGTGAGGTAAAAAAGGCCGATGATTGGAGTCAAGCTGATTCAGAGTTTAATGACTTCCCCATGGCTGATCCGAGTGCTGACCAGGAGAATGGTGACTTTGTCCCTAACCCAGAAAATAATGATCCCAAACCTTCCAGGCATAACATTCGAAATAGGAAAGATATCCCGAGCATAGCTCTGGCCAGCATGCGACACCACACTGGTCTCAGAGAAACTGCAGAGATAGCAACAGCTGCCTGGATTGACGGTGGTTTGATAACACCTGATGATGTTCACCTGGTGATAGATCATAACAAAGTAAGGAGAGCTCAGGAGAAACTTGTCAGTAACCTAGAAGAGGAGTTTGATAAGGGGATAAGAGAAAATGGAATCAATTGTTTGTTCTTTGATGGGAGAAGGGATGACACTAAAGTGTTCATGAAAGTTGGAGATTCTGACAAGTTGTTCCCTGCCATGGTGAAGGAGGAACACTACTCCTGCTGCAGTGAACCAGGAGGGAAGTATTTGTGGCATTTCACTCCAGAGAAAGATGACATCAGGAAACCAGCTGAGATAGTGGCAGATAACATTGTGAACTGGCTCAGAGAGAGGAACGTAGACCAGACCCTGCAGGCCATTGGAGGGGACAGCACCAACACGAACACAGGGTGGCAAGGGGGGTCATACAGTGGATAGAGCGGAAGATTGGGAGGAAGCTGGTCTGGATTGTTTGTGACCTCCACACCAACGAGTTGCCACTCAGACATCTGATCCAGGAGCTGGATGGCAAGACTCTTTCAAACAACAGATGGTCTGGTCCTCTTGGCAAGATGCTGGACTCTGCCACTGAGTTAGAAATAAATCCGAGCTTTGAAAAATCACAGTTGGCCCTCCACTCGTTGAGCTTGCACATACTGTCATTGACGACCTGAGTACTGACCAGTACTATGGTTACATGATTTGCAGTGCCATCAAAACTGGGGTCATGCCTGATAGACTTGCTTACCTGCAGATAGGTCCAGTCTCACATTCTAGGTGGCTCACAACGGCTCTCAGGTTCTGCAGAATTTGGGTCGCTCATCATAAACTGAAAGGGAACCAGCTTCACAACCTGAGACTTATTGTCCAATTCATCGTGAGTGTCTACTTGCCAAATTGGTTCAACACCAAGGTCAAGTCATTGTTCTCCGAAGGTCCGAGGCATGTTCTCTTCCAGCTTGAGCTCCTGAGGAGTCAGCCAAGGAAGGTTGTTCAGATTGTGGAGCAGACTGTGAGGAGATCTTCCTGGTATGCTCATCCCGAGGCAGTTCTGCAGACAATGCTCTGCAGTAAGGATGAGGAGGAGAGAAGAGTGGCAGTCAAAAAGATCTTGGATATGAGACTTATGAGAGGATCTGGGCATGACGAATCAGTTGGTGACGATTCCTTCAGGGTCAGGAAGACTCCTGAAGTCAATCTAGGTGCCAAGACCCTCACTGATCTCATAGATCTGTATAACATCCAGGCTGGCAGTGAGCCCCCTCTTACCTGCAGCCTCACCAATGTTCAAGTCAGAGCTTTCCTGGACAACCCCATGCATGTCCCTGCCTGGCCCTCGCACACCCAGAGTATAGAGCGTTGTGTACAGCAAGTGAGCGAGGCCAGCAGTCACGTGTACAGCCAGGAGAGGAGGGAAGGCTACATCCGAGCTCAGGTGGTCAGCAGGGAGGTGATGAGTAGAAACAGAAGCAAGAAAGACATGTTCTCTATGGTGTGCAGCAACACCGGGTCGTAGTAGTAAAACCGGTTTTTGTATTTGATGATTTTGTTTTCTAAAGGAATATTAAATTTAATAAATGTGTCAAGATCATTCGTTTCACTATTCTGGATCATTTTCATCCTAATAAATTAACCTGATACATTTACTTTACTTTAAATAAGCTATTTAGTGGTGTTGGTAAAAGGGTGGGAATACTGAATTTTCATAAGATTTCAAGTTAAAATTTACCTAGCAAAAAATAAAAATTTTCAAATCTGAAGATATCACATGATTCTGCACATAGAACTACATCATTAATACCATGGGCCGATTTTTCAAACTCAAAAAAAAAAATTCGCCTCTGTATGACACACCCTACAGTGGTGTATTCTTTTGATCTGGCGGAGGGTCTCTCTGCAGGGTTTGTCAAAACAGTATTAAGAGCATCATATTCAGCACTGAGATTCATGCTGTTTGCTGTTGTGATGTTTATATTCCCGTGTTCGACCTGCTCTCTGAAAGCATGTGCTACCGCTGGATCCTCCAGACGCTTAGTATTCAAATTTCTTCTGGAAGCTTGCTGCTTTCGCTGTTTTGGGGCAATGTGAAATGAGAACCTGGATCTGAAAATTCGATGATCAGTGTCAAAGTGGTCTGAGCCACGCATGACATGCGTGATGAGGACATCTCGGCGATCTCTTTCTCTGACAATGATGTAGTCAAGGAGACGCCACTGTTTAGATCATGGGTGTTGCCACGAACCCTTGAACTTGTCGGCGTGCCTAAACAAGGTATTGGTGATAGTGGGTTGTGTGGAGCGCACTTGCTGAAGAGGAGTAGTCTGTTAGGATTACACTTGCCTAGTACATTCCTCCCTATGGTTCCCACCCAAATGTTAGCATCTCTGCTAACTCTGGCATTGAAGTCGTCAAAGAGCACAAACTTTTCTTCTCTGGGGATAGAGGTTAGCACTCTGTCGAGATCGGCGTAAGAGACCTTATAGATGTCATCCTCTGCATCCAGTGTTGGGGCATATACGCTGATGAAGAAGGCATGACGTGAGTGATTCAGAGGATCTCGAAGCATCAAGAGGCACTCGTTGATCCCAATAGGCATTTCAGTTAGCCTGTGGAGGATGTGTTGGCGAATGGCAAAGCTAACTCCATAAATGCTGTTTCTCTCCACAGCAGGCTTACCCTTCCAGAATTTTATTTAGTTATTTATTAATTTTTTTTGACGGACATTAGCCCTCCAGGACACATGTTACTGACCCACATCGGGGCCTGGGGGGCGAAAATGTTATAATAATAATAATAATAATAATAATAATAATAAAGAACTACAAATAAATAAAAACAAGAAAAAAGATTAAAAGTGAGAAACAATATATGTATGTTGTGAATAGTAAGAGAAACAATTCAGACCCTGCAATTATGTGTAAATGAGGCAGAAAATCAGATCAGCAACCTGGGACTTGGTCACAATTTTTGTGATGCCATATGGTAGCAGGGTCTACTATTAGACAACACATTATGCTTCCAATATCTTCCCAGGCTGTAGTACCTCCCTATTTGGTAGCTGCCTACTACCTACTAAATAGATAGGACCGGATTACACTGTTGCCTAGGTCCCAATGCATAAAGACCATCTTATCTGTGCTGCCCATGTGCAGAGGTGTGACTAGAGACTCCCGGCAGTCACCTCTGACTGTCACCATCGCCATTCGTCCATCGCTATATAACTTTTGGGGAGTATGGGGGGTTTTGATGATGATGAGATGTATGATGAGCTGGGGGATAGCTGCACATGGGTTGATTTATGTGGTGAGGCAGGAGCGCAGGCTGCAACCACACATCTTGGCTCTCCCTTTTCCTGATCCAGGGGTGCAAGTGCTGCAACGACTGGGGAGAGGGAGAGTCTCTTTAGTAGCCTGTTACATTGCCTTTGTCCACCGGTGTAGTCGTTATGTTTCCATGGTGGTCACCTCTTCCGCCTACACCGCCGTTGGGGTCTTGCTGGAGATCTGTAAGCAGGTCTGCCTGATATGGAGCTGAACCGCAGATTTATCGTTTGGGGTTTACTCCCATAGCCTTATAGCAGCCAAGGTTAATACGCAAGGCAGCAGGGCGGTGATTGGTAAGCGCCAGGTCGTGTCCATATGCCAGTGGGCCTTTGCGCTGTCTCTCTGGGGCCCACTGTTACTTCGATATCCCTTGCTGATCTAGCCTTGGTCCACGAGGCACCCAGTTACCGTGTGTTGCCACGAGGAGGCACAGCAGGAGTCTTGATGGTAAGTAGGCACTGGCAGGGGAAGACTTATTCAAGTTTCTTCCCTGTTCGCCAAGAGGGTTAGCTAGGAGCGGCAGCTGAAAGCAAGAGGGAGCAAGCAGTGCTCGCACCTTAACGTTAACATTATAGCTGCACACACACACACACACATGTGGATCCCTAAGAGGGTGCAGGCTTCTATAATGATATATGAAATACAGTAATTGTTTTAGTTTAACAGAATAGCGGGAGTAATTACTTATATTTTAGTTTTATAAATTCATAATAATGAAATCTAAAAATGATTAATTGGTTATTCAAAGGCATTTTGGAAGCCATATGCAATTATGCAAATTAAAAAACTTTCTAATGAACATATAACTTAATGGAATAGTTCCCCATCACCAAAAACAACTTTAACAGTAATAAAACTACCCAAAACCCTCATCTAATTACTAATATAAGGAAATATTCGTATGCAGTGGAAGTGCAGTGGAATTTTAATGTCTTTGTTTTACAGATCATTTTGAAATGCAATGAAGATTTTTTTATTGCAATTAAGCCTCTAATCTTTAAGATACTCATTATAAATGATGTTTGTCAATGCCCTTGTCTCAAGTCCTTCACTACTATACTGTAGGTGTCCAGACATAACTTGTATTACACCAAGTTCTATAGGTTTTGTAAAACTAAGCTTTGTGATGTTTCAAGGGAAAAGTTTTGTGTAACAAATGGCTATGTATTTACATACCATTAATATATTATGATGTGTGCTGTGTATTCCTTTTGTATCAGTTACCTTAGCAAGAGCGGTTTTCTATGAAAGGAAAGGAGATATAAAATATGTATGTCTTTTGTGATATTAGTTTATTTTTTGCATTGGATGTGAATTATATTGGCTCAATGTAATTTCTAATATTTTGTAATCATATAATATTATATACTTATACAAAGAAGATTTAGGTTAATATTCTAATTGTTAAAGATGAATTGCTTATTTATGTTTAAGAGCTGCCTTTCTCCAGGGGTGAATACAGGGTGTGGATGTGAGACCAGGAAATTCATGGTAATTGTTAAGACCCTTGGCCTCATAGGGTGTTACAATATCACAAATTCAAATTTCTCTTCGTACTACAGGTCCAGGAATAGATCCCACCACATTCATCACCTCATTAATATGGGGTATAATGAAATTCACGAAGTAGATTTAATTAAAAATATTATATTACCAAACAAACACTAAAACAATAATAATACGACATGATGTTTGGAAGTGGCCGAGTTCGACTGAAGGTCCAACATGATCACACAATATCAAGCAAAACAAATCACAAAAGTCAAATGCTAACGCCCAAAACATAAGAAAGAGAGAGTATATTACTTAACTTAAAGACAGCTGTGCCTAGACTGACTACCGACTAACAGCTGGTCACCGACGTCACCTTTTACTGCCAAATACTGACGTAACATATCCTGATTGGCTGAGACATAAAACTATATTTAAATTACCCTACTGACATTAACTCCACATATTTAACCGATGCACAAACCTAATGTAATAAAACAATACAATTAAACATAATACAATGTAATAAACAAAGTTAATAAGGGCTCACTTGGTGTGGGCGAGTAGTGAGCGAAGCTGCCCGAGACACCCACACACCATCCGAAACAACGAATTTTATACAAAGAACAGACACTAATGGCGGACACTCGTAACAGTAATCTTGTTTCATCCATTGTACCTCCTACATTTTGGTATTAATTTACTCACCAGCATTTGGGGTGAATACTAAATTATACTTCTGTGAACAGAGAAAGGGCCATATTATGGGATTAAGATAGGTAAATTATTTAACCAGTTGGGTCTTGGCCAATTGCAAGAACAGTCGTGGGGTGTACGACGCCATTACGATGACTTCTTGCCCTGATCTTGTTTCAGTTATACCACCCTTTTGAAGCTCTGGAGAGATCTCGAAGTTTCGATATTTTGAGTACAGCACCAGTAAATAATTCCCACCAGGAAACTTGTTTCGAGACTCCTCCAAAGCTTCGAAAAGTGCAGAATTCCATGTGTTAAAGCCGATATTGCTGAAAAAATACCAGGGCAAGAAGGTCATCGTAAATGGCGCCATACACCCCATAACCGTTCTTGCAATTGGCCCATAGGACCATGCAGTGCTAATGTAAATATATTTGGTGTTAACTATTATAAATTAGTATTTCTCAGTCCTGACTCAAACTGCACAGTATAATGAATGGTTCCTCGGATTTATTCTCACAATGTAATTATATTAAATGCCATCTTCAACTCTCAGCTAGAGGTAGCAAAAGATTGCCTACATGATTCTGGTCTGTTAACCAAAGCTGTTATTTTAGAATATAAGTCTGATTAATGATCCTAGGAGTTAGAGCACTGCTGAAAGAGGAGGATTATTCAGTAGTGGCCGTGACAATTGGAATTTCTCAGCCTAAATTCTCAAATTTCAATACTTTCTACAAGCAGGAAGAACTCTGTGTGGACATGAAATGTATTGTTCTTACTTTGTTTTTAGGAAAGGGGCTCCATTTTACCAGCGTTTTACGCAACTGATGTTACGGTTGGAAGGCTCAGGTATTATATCATACTGGACTGAAGAGTTGTTATCCCAGCGGGTGAAGAAGAACAAAGAGACTGCAGCACTCGACCCTATGGCAGTTGGTGGGAATACTCTGGTAGTGAGCATCTATTTGTAAAAAATTTTCTTTAGTCTTAGTGTTATTGTAAACTAGAATATAAATGTTTTTATGTTCACACTTTATTTTAAGTAACTTTGTATGCTAAAAATAACGTTTTCTTAATATACTCACTAAAAAAAACGAAATACGTATTCTCTAAAAAAAAATTTTTATTACCTAACACTTGAGACAGGACTGGTAAATTGACACTGTAGTTCTGTCGCACTTACCAACGGTATAACATTTACATCGATACCGCAGGACGACAGCACTGAAGTGACCTTGGGGCTGAACCACCTTCAGGGTGCCTTTTACCTGCTGTTCCTGGGCTCTCTCCTTGCCTTCCTCACCTTGCTGTGGGAAAAACTCCCACGCTCCAGCTCCTCGCCGCAGTAATGCTCCTTTAGCTCACCAGACCACTGACCAGGAATGATTCTTCTGAACGCAAGCATAACTTTCCTCACCCAACTACGGGAGACAACAAGGCTCCTCACTTCATAATGTCCTTCTTGCAACAGCAGACTTCACACCATAAATCAATTATAAGATTTGTATTTTTGCTCGGTGAAATAGCTGATTGTATAGTTATAATTCAACTATATTTAAAAATGACAATTACGTATTACATCTCAAAATTCCTTCAGTTTAGATGTAGTGCTGTAGTGCACTCTTACGTACTCTTATCGTGCGTGACTCCATAAACTCTCTTTCCGTTTTTGTCACCCTAATCACATAAACCTTCCTACTTATATTAGGAGTTTCTGTTCTTTATTCTAACTTCTTACCTTCACAATTCATCATTATATCTGAGTGTAGTGCAGGCGGTCGCGCGCTCCACTTGGGACGCACGTACATTTGTCGATCTTTAGATCATAATTTATTGTAAACGGCAGTTCGTGAATCAGAACATCGATTAGTGCAACAACTGTTAAAAAAGATAATTTGTAGCATCTTTTGTACCACACTTTCAATTTCACTTAGAAGTGAACCATCTCAGCTAGTTTCAGCAAAAATATATTAAACAACAGTCCAAAACATAGGCAACCAATTTGCAGAGTAAAGTATTACCTGCATTAGAAGTCCAGCCTCATAGAAGTTTCCAAGGGCACAATAAATATTTCAACTAAATATTAATTTGCACAGAAAATGTTATAGCATAAATGCAGCACTGTGGAAAAATATTATGCAGAATTGTCCAAGCCTTCACTAAATTTTTTTAAATATAAAGAAAAAGTATAATATATATATAAATAAATAAATAAATAAATAAATAAATAAATAAATATATATATATATATATATATATATATATATATATATATATATATATATATATATATATATATATATATATATATATATATGCAAGTAAATCACTCTAGGTGCGCGTGATCCAGGTATATGCTGATAACCACAAGGAAAAAAGAAAACACGAAGTTCCCAAGCGCTTTCGTGTAATTCACATCTTAAGGGGTGAGTACAAACTAAGGAGAAGTACAAAACAAGGTGTATATATACAGAGGAGGGTGAGATCAGGTCCACAATGGTCAGATATTAGGTAATGACCCTACTGATCTTTAAATAGCACCGCAACGGTCGGTAGTCAGGTCAGAGGGTAAGGTGACTCAACCTTCTCACCTGGTTACAAATTTTCTTAATTACAAAATTGTCCAGTTTGTACATGCCATTACTCAAATTCATGTTGAATGCTTCGGTATGTTTAATGAGACTAGATTCTATGATGTTCCTACTATCAATTGAATTACAAGGTAATATTGGGGAGGCATTATCCCAGTCAATGCAATGCTTGTTATCCCTCAAATGAACAAACAGAGCATTGGATTCCTGGCCTGTCCTAACACTATATTTATGCTGTTTAAGTCTAGTTACAAGATCTTTACCTGTCTGGCCTAAGTAAAACATATTATATTCCTTGCAAGGAACTTTATAAATGCAACCAATTGTGCTGTTGGGGGAGTTCTTGATTAACATTTGTTTAACAGTACATATTGTTTTGTACTTCTCTTTAGTCTGTACTCACCCCTGAAGATGTGACTTACACGAAAGCGCTTGGGAACTTCGTGTTTTCTTCTTTTCTTGTGGTTATCAGCATATACCTAGACTCTACCAAATGTATCAAACTAAAACACGAGAAAAGATTGGTCCAATAAGGTCAGATACCGGCGAGCTCACTGATAACGACAGAGAAATTAGCAATAATTTGAATAAATATTTTTCAACATGATACTCGGGGCACCAACTCTATTCAGAGATAGTGAAGAAAACAAATTAAGCGAGATAGTAGTGACTAGTAACGATGTTAGTAAGCAAATAGACAAACTAAAGCCTAATAAGTCACCTGGTCCCGATGAGATATTTGCCAGAGTATTAAAGGAATGTAAGGAAGAGCTTAGTATGCCCTTAGCAAAGTTGTTTAACATGTCCTTAAAAACAGGTGTAGTACCAGAATCCTGGTGGATAGCAAATGTAATACCGATTTTCAAGAAGGGGGATAGATCATTATCCTCTAACTACCGCCCAATCAGTCTAACATCAATAGTAGGCAAATTACTGGAAGCAATCATTTCAAACTCTATTCGAAATCACCTGGAGAAGCACAGATTGATCAATGATTCCCAGCATGGCTTCACAAGAGGATGTTCACTTCTAACTAATCTATTAACATTCTTTTCATCAGTTTTCGAATCGGTGGACGAGGGGCACAATTATGATGTGGTATATCTCGACTTTAGCAAAGCCTTCGACAGAGACCCCCACGAAAGACTAATTAGAAAGGTAGAAGCACATGGCATCAAAGGTAATATCCTTAAATGGATTAGGGCGTGGTTACAGGACAGGAAACAGAGAGTGTGCATTAATGGCACTAAGTCCCATTGGAATCAACGTCACAAGTGGAGTTCCCCAAGGCTCAGTACTTGGACCATTATTATTTATTATATACATAAACGACATAGATTTCGGCAAAGACAGCAACATAAGCAAATTTGCTGATGACACTAAAATAGGACGTGTTATTAAATCTGACGAGGACTCCGCAAAACTACAGGAAGATCTAAACAAATTTTTCGAATGGTCTGAAAAATGGCAGATGAAATTCAACGTGGACAAATGTAAACTACTCAGTATAGGAGATGTAAACAGAGAAACCAGATACCAGATGAACAACGATGCCATAGAGAAATCCGACTGCGAGAGAGAATTAGGAGTAATGATAAGTAGGAACCTTAAGCCAAGTAAACAATGTGTTTTTGCTCGTAACAAGGCTAATAAAGTACTTGGGTTCATACAAAGGAGTGTTAGTTACAAGACTAGCGAGGTCATCCTAAAACTGTATCTTGCTCTTGTGAGACCACACCTGGATTACGCAGTTCAGTTCTGGTCACCGTATTACAGAATGGATATAGAATCCTTGGAAAGAATTCAGAGGAGAATGACAAGACTAATCCCGGGCATCAGGAACCTTGAGTATAGAGACAGGTTAAAGCATCTTAATTTGCACTCCCTCGAGAGACGTAGAGCGAGGGGCGACCTGATAGAGGTGTATAAGTGGAAGTCAGGGCTAAACAAAGGGGACACTATCAAAGGTACTCAAACTATCCAACCAGGAGCAAACTCGTAACAATGGTTTTAAATTAGACAAATTTAGATTTAGGCGTGAAATAGGTAAACACTGGTTTGGAAACAGAGTAGTGGATGAATGGAACAAGTTACCAAATATTATCATTAACTCGAATACGCTGAATAGCTTCAAACATAGGTTGGATGCTTATATGAGCTATAGGGGTTGGGTGTAAACGGGACTGCCCAGTATGGGCCAATAGGCCCGCTGCAGTTTCCTCCATTCATATGTTCTTATATTCTTATGCGTCACAGAAAGACTTCTGGTTGAAACAAGTTTGATTAGGGAATTTGATTCTATAAACCTTAGTGATGGTCTGTACAAAACTGATAATATGTTACACAAATTTATTTGTCAGTGGCCCAAGGTTAAAAATGCTTAGTGGGTCTTATATTTTTGACATAACTTAACATGACTAATTACGTCGCCCTTTCTTTTATGTTCCTCTTATGTGCGTGGTGGTGTTGGTGTGTAGATTAGTGGTGTGTACGTAAGCCTCTCTCAGCCCTTGTAATTCAGACGCTTCTGAAGATGTTTTGAATAAAGACGAAAGCTAAGGTGCTCCATTGTTTCCCTTTTCCCGTGTGATTTTATCAAGAATTATCTTATCTACGTTTTCATTGTGGATCTACATGAAATATATATATATATATATATATATATATATATATATATATATATATATATATATATATATATATATATATATATATATATATATATATATGCTGATAACCACAAGGAAAGAAGAAAACACGAAGCATTCAACATGAATTTGAGTAACGGCATGTACAAGCTGGACAATTTTGTAATTAAGAAGATTTGTAACCAGGTGAGAAGGCCGGGTCACCTGACCATCTGATCTGACCACCAACTGTTGTGTGCTATTTAAAGATTAGTAGGGTCATTACATAAGAACATAAGAACATAAGAACATAAGAAAGTGGGATACTGCAGGAGGCCGACTGGCCCATACAGGGCAGATCCCTTTCACACCCATCCCAGCACTTCCATGTGCCTATCCAACTTCGTCTTGAAGCTCCCTAGCGTCCCCGATCCTACTATAGCACTCGGTAGCCTATTCCACATATCCACAACTCTATTACCAAACCAGTGCTTGCCTATATCATTTCTGAATCGGAATTTATCTAATTTAAAGCCATTTGTTCTAGTTATTTCGTTATTACTGAGCTTCAGAACATCTTCCATTTTACCCTTGTTAATCCCACTTACCCACTTGTACACCTCTATCATATCTCCCCTAACTCTACGCCTCTCTAATGAATGTAAGCCTAAGCTTTTCAGTCTTTCTTCATATGGAAGGTTTCTAATATTATGGATCATTTTTGTCATTCTTCTTTGTACTCTCTCCAAAGAATCTATGTCCATTCTATAATAAGGACACAGAACTGAACCGCATAATCCATGTGTGGCCTCACTAATGCAAGGTAAAGTTTCAAGATAACGTCAGCAGTTCTGTTACTCACAGACCTAGATATGAACCCAAGAATCCTGTTTGCCTTGTTGCGAACGCTAATACATTGTTTTCTAGGTTTCAAGTCGTGGCTAACAAATACACCTAGATCTTTTTTCACAAACTGAGTTTTCTATTTCCGTGTTACCTAGTTTATACTTAACGTTTGTATTCGTCTTCCCTATCTGTAGTACCTTGCATTTATCAGTATTAAAATTCATTTGCCAGTCTACTGACCACTCATGTAAGGTATCTAGATCTCTTTGAAGGTGTTCAAAGTCACTGTCTGAATTTATCACTCTCCCCATTTTGGTATCATCTGCAAATTTACTAATCCTACTAGTTATGCCTAAATCAAGATCATTAATGAATATAACAAACAGCAGAGGGCCTAATACAGATCCTAGGGAACTCCGCTTTTGACTTACTTTTGATCTGACTTTAATCCATTTTATGCTGACTCTTTGACTTCCTACCAGTTAACCATGACCTAATCCATTTTATGCTGATCCACCTATTCCAATGCTTCTACCTTCCTTATCAATCCTGTGAGGACTCTATCCAGATAACTACTGAAATCTAAATAAATTATATCCTTATGACTTATCATTATCTACGCTTCAAATACTTCTGAGAAAAAGCTAAGCAAATTTGTGAGACAAGAACGTCCCTGGGTGAACCCGTGCTGAGAAGAATGAATTAAGTTGAATGTTTCAAGGTGGCTTCTGATTTTTGTAGCAATAATTGACTCAAGCAACTTGCCTATGATTGACGTGAGACTAATGGGACGGTAATTTGATGCTATTGATTTATCACCCTTTTTGAAAATCGGAACTACATTTGCAAGTTTCCAAGCTTCTGACACTAGGCCCGATTCTAATGGCTTATTAAATAAAACTGCTAATGGATTACTCAACTCATCTCTACATTCTTTTAATATTCTAGCATATACCTCGTCTGGACCAGGCGATTTATGAGGCTTCAGTTTGTTAATTACTTTAAGCACATCGTTACTAGTAATATTGATATTCATCAACATATTTTCTATACTGTCGTTATATACCTTATGAACTTCTGGAAACTGTGCTAGGTTTTCATTTGTGAATAC